CAGGAATTTAAGACTTGAGTAAGTACATCCAGCCCTGCCCACATTTCTTCTCTCCTCTGCTGGGCCCATCCACCTCCATTTTCTCACCCAGGACTGCCTCGCGCCGAGGCCTCTGCCCAGGCTCCTCCGCGGAGCCGGCCCAGCCCGTGGCCTTGCTCACTAGCAAACGAACAGACTCCCGTCTGCCCGGGCACCAGTCTCCTGCGCTTCCCCAAGATGCGCCTCACCTTCCAACTGCTTTTCTTTCTGGGAATGTTCATGCTCACACCCTGATCATACGCTCAGTGCAGCGGTTCTCAACCTGTGGGTCGCGACCCCTTTGGGGATCGAACGACCCTTTCACAGGGGTCTCCTAAATACATCCTGCGTATCAGATATTTACATTACGATTCATAACAATTGCAACATTACAGTTATGAAGCAGCAACGAAAATAATGTTATGGTTGGGAGTTACCACAACATAAGGAACTGTATTAAAGGGTGGCGGCGTTAGGAAGGTTGGGAACCACTGCCTTAGTGGTTTACCCGTTCTGTAAAGCTGACTCCAGCTTCTCCGTGGAGATGGACTCTCACAGCCAGAAGAGGCTCCCTTCCCCAGAATCCCTGCAGCACTGGCTCTTAAAATAGTATCACACACACACACACACACACACACACACACACACATGCACACACACACAATAGTGCAGCCCGGGATCTTTGAGGCAAAGTTGGGGGTTTTAGTCATTTATGCAGCCACCCTCCATACTACCTGGCAAATGCTTCAAATAATGGGCATTCAGCTAATCGCTTCCTTGTTTTATTGATTGACAAGTAAATAAGCTAAGTTCATGAAATCAAAGTAAGTCAAACCCTTGGTGACTTGGTAAATAAAGGTGTTAACATGAGGAGAAGTTGAGCGAAGGGAACTTTTCTGTACGTCTTAATTTCCAAAAAGAGCTTAAACATTCCACTTGTGAGATAGAGAACTAGCTGGACACACACACACACAACAAAATGGAATCTTAATTAATAATAATAGAAGGTTCCTCCACTGAAATAATTCACTCTAAAATCTAGGAAAATGAATGGCTCCTAGGTAAAAATATTGAAACTGTAGGCTAATATTTGTCAGAATATATTGCTGCATGTTCCATTTTATTGTCCAGACGTACACATTTGTATCTAGTTTCACTCGGCCTGTGGCCCTATGAGTACTTCTTTAATTTCCTCTTCTTTCCAAGGGAAAATGCCTCCTTAGCTCCCTGCATCTGAGTGTGACTCTCGCTCTTTGCAGAAGAGAACACATGGACTTGCGATTCTTCTGTCTTCACACCTGTCTCTTCACCAAGCCCACCACGACAGGAAAAGAGGAGGGAAACGGGAAAGTTAGTTCCGTTTTCGTCTTCTTGTTGCCAGAGTTGACGGTCGGGCGGCTGGTGGATGTGGTGCTGTGTAATGACAGCACCGCAGCTTTTTCTCAGGAAAGCAGGGCGTGGTTTCCGTGCCAGGTTCCAGGCCCGAGTGCCTCTGAGAGCTAGATGCTCTGGCGTCAGCGTGAGCCCGTCCCCCGCGGCCCCGAAAAAGCCAGCTGTCGATTGTTTCTTGTTTGCTTACAGGCCAATGTGCTTTGTAAAGCAGCTCGAGATCCCTCACTACGGCTACAGGAACAACGTCCCCACGACCACGCCGCGCTCCAACCTGGCCAAAGAGCTGGAGAAATACTCCAAGACGTCGTTTGAGTACAACAGTTATGACAGCCACACGTACGGCAAGCGGGCCATAGCTCCCAAGGTGCAAACCAGGGACATATCCCCCAAAGGATATGATGGTAGGAGGTGCACACTCTTATACATGAGAGTCACGCTTGCCTTGATGATGTTGTGTTGTGTATATCCATTCCCTACCAGCGGGTCGCGCATGTGGTCACTGCTGGGCACGGAGAACAGCACGCCACCCTGGGCCCTTCCTCAGAACCAGAGGCCCACGGTGGGGGCAGGGCCGCGGGTGTGGCCAGGGCCTCGGCTCCTCTGCCCTGCTGTCACTTAGACCATGTCCTCACCTTCCTAAACGTCCTTTAATTCGTGGCCCAGCTCAGATACCTGGACAGCCGGCAGCAGCGGCCCCCAATCCGTGGCTGTGTGGGGAGGTCTGCACCCCCACCCGCCCGTGTTCCCGACCCTGGGTGCACAGAGTCGTCCGAGTGACGTAGAAGTCTGACGCTCGGGCGGCTCCCAACCCGGCCAAACCAGAAGCTCAGGTGTTCCCTGTGTGGTGAGATTTTAAAGTCACCGCGATCGCTCTGTGCAGCTGAGGGTGGACAGCCTCCGAGGGGTCCCAGCCCTCCAGCAGGCTTGGACCTGCTCTCTTCTGCTCTGGGGAGCGGGCCTGGGAGAGCCACCCGGTGGGACCCGGCTAGGTCACGGGCGCACTCTGCCATCGCGTCAGGAAAAGCACGGCTCCTGTCCACCGTGGGCTCGGCCGCCGCCAGGGTGTGCCTGGGTCACGTTTATCGTGATTAGTGGTTGAACAATAGACGGGAAGACCACGTATCTTGGCGTTTACTTATCTAACCACAATTCTACTTTAAATTCCAGGATATATGACTTAGTTGGCAAATGTTACTAACTGGCATGTGGGCTGCGTAGCTTGTGGTGACTTAGAAGTCCCTCCTGGCGCTCTCTAGTGAGGCAGGAGATGGGCAAGCTCCTCTCTGAGAGACGGAATTCAGATCACAGCACACCGACCGTTTCAGCCGAGTGGTGGGGGTTCTGAAACGGTCTCATAATTCAATATGAGTAGCTACACCTTTTTCAAAGTTATGTTAGTCATTCTTTGCCTTAATAACAATTAATTTCTTAGTGAATAGAGTATTTCTCTGATGCATCAAATATTGATTATCTTTGCATGTATCAATTCTTAATATATAGGAATTAATATAAATGGGGAACAGAAAGTGGTTTACAGTATAATAGAAAATTAGTATTTTTGTTTATTTTGTAATAATTTGCCAATTTCAGTTTTTATTATTTCATTCATTTGATTGCAAATGAAGGATCAAAAGAAATTGAATTCACATAATTAGGATTCTATTGATATCATTTCCAATTTTGAGAAATCTGATGAGTGCTTTGACTCGTTCATTTTCACCCGCCTCTTTGTCGCTGCTGTGCGCCATGGCCTGAGTCCTTGCCCCCACTGTCCCGGCTGGGCTGGGCGAGGGCGTGGCCGGTAGAGTGCGTCTTGGGTTGCAGCGCCTTTGGTGGGTTAGGAGGCAAACGTGCCGTCTGTTCTCAGCTCTTCCCTGAGGACCGTGTGCTGTTGGGCACGTTAGTGCTGTGTGTCCGTTCCTGGAGTCGAGTGGAGGTACCGTTCTGCCCTGCTGGGGAGACCAGGGACAGCTCTAAAGGGGCACAAGCATGTTAGTCCCGACATTCTCACCTGCCCAGAAAGGTGCCTGGTGTCAGGACTGAGGCAGACCCATGCTGTTCAGCCACCAACAAGAAAACAAGAGCAGAATAAAAACTCCACTCTTAGGTCCTCAGTGAAAGACACCCTTTTAGCAAACATTTACTGAGAAGAAAGTCAGTGACCCCGTTTCTCTTCCACTAGAGGCGCCTGACAGACTTTGAACTCATGGAGGACAATGCCCGCTAAGGGTGAGGGGCTGGGCAGGGCCCAGTGGATGTGAGCTGAGAGGAGCCCTCCTGCTCCCGGGCATCGGGCAGTAGGCACCACAGGCAACTGAGGTCTGCACGCACCTCCAGGAGCGCCCCCGGGGTTCCGTCACTGCTCCTGAGCAGGCGGGAAAGTAGCCTGTGGTGGGTGGGCCAGTGTCAGGGCAGTAGAAGAGATGCAGGTGCCTAGAACGCAGGGCCTTCCCCGTCTGCTCATCACCCTGAGGTCCCACCTGCTGTGACCAAACACTCAGCACTTGGGTGCAGCCTCCGTGTTCTTCCAGGGCCAGGCACGTCCTGACCGCTCTCCATCTCTGTCCGTCAGCCTGTCTGTCCACCCATCGACCCGTCCTCTCCCTGGTGGGCACACCCTCAGGAGGCACGTGCTTGTTTCCCTGGAAACCAAGATGCAGCACACTCGCCTGCTCCACACACACTGCACAGGATGCAGCACGCTCGCCTGCTCCACCCACACTGCACAGGATGTAGCGCACTCGCCTGCTCCACACACTGCGCAGGATGTAGCACCCTCGCCTGCTCCACCCACACTGCACAGGATGTAGCGCACTCGCCTGCTCCACACACTGCGCAGGATGTAGCACCCTCGCCTGCTCCACCCACACTGCACAGGATGTAGCGCACTCGCCTGCTCCACACACTGCGCAGGATGTAGCACCCTCGCCTGCTCCACCCACACTGCACAGGATGTAGCGCACTCGCCTGCTCCACACACTGCGCAGGATGTAGCACCCTCGCCTGCTCCACCCACACTGCACAGGATGTAGCGCACTCGCCTGCTCCACACACTGCGCAGGATGTAGCACCCTCGCCTGCTCCACCCACACTGCACAGGATGTAGCGCACTCGCCTGCTCCACACACTGCGCAGGATGTAGCACCCTCGCCTGCTCCACCCACACTGCACAGGATGTAGCGCACTCGCCTGCTCCACACACTGCGCAGGATGTAGCACCCTCGCCTGCTCCACCCACACTGCACAGGATGTAGCGCACTCGCCTGCTCCACACACTGCGCAGGATGTAGCACCCTCGCCTGCTCCACCCACACTGCACAGGATGTAGCGCACTCGCCTGCTCCACACACTGCGCAGGATGTAGCACCCTCGCCTGCTCCACCCACACTGCACAGGATGTAGCGCACTCGCCTGCTCCACACACTGCGCAGGATGTAGCACCCTCGCCTGCTCCACCCACACTGCACAGGATGTAGCGCACTCGCCTGCTCCACACACTGCGCAGGATGTAGCACCCTCGCCTGCTCCACCCACACTGCACAGGATGTAGCGCACTCGCCTGCTCCACACACTGCGCAGGATGTAGCACACTCGCCTGCTCCACACACACTGCACAGGATGTAGCACACTCGCCTGCTCCACACACACTGCGCAGGATGTAGCACACTCGCCTGCTCCACCCACACTGCACAGGATGTAGCGCACTCGCCTGCTCCACACACTGCGCAGGATGTAGCACACTCGCCTGCTCCACACCCACTGCCCAGGATGCAGCACGCTCGCCTGTTCCGCACACACTGCACAGAAGCAGGATGCAGCACACTCGCCTGCTCCACACACACTGCACAGGATGCAGCACACTCACCTGCTCCACACACACTGCACAGAGCAGGTGGCCATTCCAGGGCCCTGAGGCTCTCACCAGCAGAGCAGGCGACAGGAGGGTCCTGGTGGAAGGTGTTTGCTTTGTTTCCATTGCATTTATTTTTCAATATAAATGTCTTACAGTTGCTCTTTTTCCTGCAAGAGCGCTGACTGCCTGAGGAGGTCCTGCTCCATGGGGTGTGGCCTGCACACAGCTGTGTCACAGGCAGACATGGCCCTGCAGTCACAGTGGTGTAGCTCTGTCATTCCGTGTCCGCTGGCACCTCGAACATGAACACATTTTATCTGCTGACCAATTGGAAAGGGATTTAATTGAACATCACTTTGTTTGCCAAAAGAAAAGCCCAGTGCATTTTATGGTGAATCCGGTACTCCCATCTGACAAGGTAGGAGCTCCTGGGTGGGGCAGAGGGGCCAGAGCACACCTGGGAGAGGCACCCGCCGTCCCACGCCCTGTGGCTCTGCGGTGCCCCCTGGTGTCAGCACAGTGTGGTCCCAGGTCACTGTCACTAGGTTTTGTCAAAGTTTAACAGATAATCATTAGGACGAGGCCTTCATCACCTGAAAGATTTGAAGGATAGAGACTCTTATTTCATTGCAGCAAAACAAAAGAGAAAGTTGATGGCATTTAGTGAAGGGATACGCCTGGCCGCCCAGCTGCTTCTCTCCTCCTCCCTGCCCCCCACTCCCCAGGGTGTGCAGTCCCAGGTGGTCCAGGCCCCTCCCGGCGGAGCCAGAGGAGCCCTGGTTAAGCATTTAGTGACGGGGATGCCCTTTACCGAGGGGCTGCGGTGTTTGCGCAGACGCGTGTTGTCCTGCTACTTCTAGAACTTGCAGAGCACTCATTCCTGAACAGACGTGCTGTTTCTTCTTTATGTGGAGCACATTTCCCCCGAGCCAGTGGCTAGACCTCGTCAGGAGGAAAAACACACCTTAATAGTATTTTATTCCTCCCAGAATTTTTCTAACAAATGCGGGGATGGCGTAAAACCACAAACTTTCATTCCTGAGAGAGAATCTTGGGCCGCGAGATGGCTTTGCCGCCTCGACGTGCTCCGGGCAGGTCCCGGGCAGCCTCCTGGGACTGAACCTGGGTCCCTCTGGGCCCAGCCCCAAGCCCAGCTGCCCCGTGGCCTGTGCTGCTGAGATAAGGCACCTTCGCAGGGGTCCGGAGGAAGGCCCAGGCCTGGCCCCAAGGGCGTGAGC